CCAATGCGTCTTCACATTTGTAATCCTATTCTAATAAACGTTTAACTTTCGTTATACTAATTTAGCTTCCTTATGAAATTACTAGCTGTTACCGTGCGGCTGCATCCGCATGAAATTGTGATTATTTTATTGTTTACATTTGTCAAATTATCAATAGCAAATGTCAAAATGATATGACATGACAAACCTTGACAGTCTTGCTTCCTTGATGTTGGCAGCAACTTATGGTCTTTTTCCCACATTAGGGTTTTATCCAAAATATTTACCCCACAAGTTTAATGGCGTTAAAAAAAGATAGCCAAAAGCGTGACGTAAGTGTAGGGCTTTTTATTAAAAAAAGAGTTATTCAGAAATTTGCTGTAATTACTGAGTTTTTAGGCAACAAAGAAGTGTGTGTTTACGCTTTATTATATTAGTATAGACTAGTATAGATCAGAAGGTCTGTGAAACTGTGATGATTCCATCAATATGAAAGTATTGACCGGAGATATGACCTGTATTAGAAATACAGTAGAGGCGATATTGGCATGCAACTCATATACTGCATAACGTGCTCCTGTCGGGTTCATGGGTCAATTTACGTAATACTGTTTGTTTCTTAAATAACATTTGATAGAATTCATTAAGATTATTTTCGTTCGCATTAAAATACATCTAACCAGTTGCTATTTTCGTAAGAGAATTTTAGAAGTTAAAGTATCCTTTGGTATCTGATCAAGGGTGTTCAGATCTATGGAGTCAATAAGGGCTGAGGGAATTAAATCATTGCGTTCATTAGGAGATATTCGTTCTACCGTGTTTTATGATAACATATCTATATAGAAAACTATAAAACAAATAACAACTATGTCAACAAATAATCTTGTAGTATTGTTTTATAACAGTTGCAGTAATAGTGTTGTTCTTAATTGATACATTGTTAAATGCAATTGTAAAGAGGCATTAATGTAATTGTTATAATTATAACATTTCATTTACAATGCACTTCCTATTTAGCATTGTTAACATTTATCTTATTATGAAAAAAATAATATAAAATATAACCTAAAACTCATATCAACATCTCTCTGTACTTGTCCCACACATCTTGCACACGCCTTTATCTGATATTAATAGCACCAAATAAATAAGAAAAGTAATAAATAAAAAGAAGAACAAAAGACTAGGATGTCAGGTGTGTACGAGAGGGAGGCATAGCGCCTCCCATAAAAAAAAACATTCAGAGTCTTGGTTACTAAGAGTGTAATTGAATGTTAAACTAATAGGATAAATCTTCTCTAAGCTTATTAATGTGATATACAAAGAACACGAACAGCTGCTAGGAACAAAGTACAGATTTAGGTATGAAAGTCGATTGTGTAATCTCAAATTTGCCAGAGAGATCGAGTACGGAACAGGAAAGGAAATCTGTCTCGGATTTAGTTCTTCGATACGATTTTGCATACAGAGAGACCAGAATGATAGAAATATAACAAATAGTTTAACTTTGACGATTGGCAGTGAAAACAAAATTTCGACCCGGTTGTAACGAGCAGTTATTTAACTAACTATGCAGGAGTTTTTGTTACCAATAGTTCCAAATTCAAACTATGTTAGAATCGATTAATTTACACTCAATCTTACTAACTTTATAAATGCGAAAGTTTAGATGGATGGATGGTTGTTTGTTAGAGTGTGTAGCCTAAACGGTTGAACGGAACTGGATGAAATTTTGCATAGATGTAGGGGATAGTCTGAAATAACACATAGGCGATACACTTTTGTTTTTTTAATACCACGCGGACGGAGTCGCTGGCGAAAGCTAGTAGTAATTAAACTTAACACTCTAAGGTCATTTACCTTATTATCCACGTGTTTATCTACCACATTACAACTTTAATGACATCGTTGGGATGTTTACAACAAACAAGTATAACGTGCTCAACCTCATTAGAATTTAATCCTCGTAGATTTCAGTAAATAAAGTTTGTACAAGACGGAAATCACGTCCAGGGGCGCGTTTGAGTCTTGTTTATGAAAGGACTTCAGGACACAAGAAAATGAACTTTATCGGGGAAAGAATAAAGTAGAAAATAATTTAAGTACTTTATATGCACATTTTATTAAAGCAACTGCTTGATACGCCACAAACACGTTGAATTAAAGTATGTTGGCGGCCGCGAGCACAATGAGAATGCACTATTACGTATTAACTATTATATTTAAATTGAAATAAACTGCAGTGGTTAAGTCAGAGTTTATTCTTTTTGCATATATTTTAAATAACGAACAAATCGTATAGATAAAAAGTAGAACAAAGCGTTTATAAAACATTTTACAAAAACAACTGTGGATAAAAAAAAAAGAAGTTTTGTAGGTTTCTGTTCCTAAGAGTATTACTTCTTTTCCCTTACCTTGGTCTGAAGTGATTTTTAACAATGATCGACAGAAGATTTAATGATCTGGAGTATGAAAACTTGATGGCCGGTTTGATGACCCTTCTTAAGTAGGATAGGGACAGGGAGATGATGATGAGTGAATAACAATCTTGCTATCTCATTCCAGAAAGGCTACCCGTGTTCGGAGACGCAGGAGCTGAGCCCCGGGCGATGGGGTGGGCGCACGGTGGCAGAGTGCAAGTGTCCCCCGGGCACTGCGCAGCTGCCGCACTCCGACGTCTGCCACAAGCTGTTCGAGCGTGGTCCATGCCGACCGGGGGAGTACTTCGCACCAGTGGAGGAGACATTCAACAAGCGCGGGTAGGTAAGCATCAAAATAATGAATAATGATTAATGGAGATAGAAGAAAGAACTTTAGTACAGTGTCTTGTTGTTTAAACAAATTAACACTGTACGATATGAATGGAATGACAAACAGTTTGCATACGTGACAATCAAAGGTTTAAAACCGTAACCGCGACTTGTGCAATTCGATTGGCAATAGCGATCGTGCGAACCGCATGGCGTTATAGATACAGTGTACGAAATCCCCATATTGAGCAAGCGGCGTGTCACGGTTAACGAAATGTAGTGCTATAGTCTGGGCCAACCAACATAGTTTCATCGCTGGGTACAGGCACATGATTCATCGCACGGATCACTTCTCTATTATCCTTATAGAATTTTAAAACATTAACCAGAATTTTAATTTTCCTGCAATATTTAATGTATTAAACTGTAGTTTACGCAGAACTAGAAGATACACAAAAATACATTCCATAAAAGGTTATTTGAGGTGACGTGTATTTACGTGATATTTTGCCTTGAAGTAGCGTATGGTGTGTAATAAGATTTCTTCGGTTCTATTGCAGGGTGCGTCAGGGAATGTGCGTGCGGCCACAGCAGTGCGCGGACTCGACGCTGCTGTACTGGCCGGCAGACGGTCGATGCTATCACCGACTCACACAGGGCCCATGCTATCCTGGTACTATCCTCGACCTCGGTACCGATGGGTTAGCTAACTGTACCGTAAGTAAATTCTATATAAGTCGTAAGGGTAATTTTGTAAAACAGTTTTCAAATGAACAAACTAGCATTTGACTACGATGTCACGTTATGGTAATAAGTAGATGCCTATTCACTCTAATTCTAAAGAAACACATCATACTGATGGATGGAATATCCTGTGCTATACGCACGAAGAACAATTATTGTTGTTTCGTTGTATTCACTAGACTATTAAATTTATTTTTGACCATGACTTTGATTGTTCCAGTGCGAGTCCGATGGTCAAAACTTTTGGTCGGATGACGGCGGCTGCTACGCGCACTACACGCGGGGGCCGTGCGAG